TTTTTATTAATTTTTTTAACTTATTTTAAAAACAGTTTTGCTTGTGGAATGAGCAACAAGTACTTAAGGATCTGACCATGAGGATGTTTTTGTACGTGCTAACCACAGTTAACAGATGTCGTACTTCGGTCAGTTCACAGTAGTGGCTTATTCAAATTGCGTTTACTGCGCAGGCGGTTTTCCATGTTATAAGTGTTCAACGTGCGTGACTGGAGTCAGCATTCGTGCCGAGGTATCAGACGCGTTCGAGAGTTATACCAGTGAACTACCTGTTGATCCGTGTGTAATCCAACACTGTAAGTACCATTTTACGATAAAATATAATAATATTTAATTCTTTATTTATTGAAACTTTATCTCTGAATGAAAGTAGAAGTTCCATTCTACAGTAAACTGTTATATTTAAAAAATTTTAATTGAAAATTACAAAAATAGTTGTTTCATAACATTTAACTGTTGTTACATGTACTTACATATTTTCGAGAATTCTTGCGTGACTTATAAAAAGTTATATGATTATATAACATGTTACACAAAGTTATCAATAATTTTTTAAATATATTATTTTTTTAATTTTGGAGTTGTAAATTGTTATTTAATCGAAAATTTAATCAAGAAAATTTTTCATTTTCTTTTGAGTATTCAATTAAGTTATTTATATATACGGTCTTAATAAATCGTTTATTATTATTTAATTTTTGTCATAATAAACAGTGCTTTGAGATTGTTTAAATAATATTATATAATTATTTGACAATTAATAAAAATAATAAAGATAATTGATATATATTAATTTGACAATTTATATGCATAATGTCGTAAATATCTATCGATTTTTCAAGGACTTTGTCAAACTGGAAAATATTATGATATCAGTATTTAAAGATATTATTTATGTTTTTATTTATTGTCATGAAGAACGTCTAGAATTTCTCTTTCAATATTTTTGTAGAGTGACTTGATAAATTGAATGATTTAAAATTTTATGCTTTGACAAACTAATTAATTTAAAATTTTATTTAATGTAAAAATGTATGGATGTGAGAAATATTTTTATTGAGAAGTTTTAGAAAGTTTAATGTAAAGATTATTTATTTATATCATTAAATGCGCCATAAGAATATCAATAATTATTTTCAATGTCTAAATAAATCGATTTTGTTAAGTTTTTAGTCTGTTTTAAAATAATTTATTATATTTTTTTATGTGTGTGTTTAAATATAGTTTTAATAAAATTATAATTCTTTAGAAATTTTAAGCAAATTAAATCACTCTTATAATGTATGTTTTTATTTAAACAGATATTATATTTTCAACGTACGCGTGATAAACTTGTGTGAAAGCATGGCGACGGAGGTGGCGCAACTTCCCCATCTAAAGGTCTTCGATCGCGTAATGGAATTACCCATTGTTGAGTTAGCGGTTGTCAAATCCGCAGAAACGTATTCCAAAGTGAAGAGTTCGTATCAATTGATGAATTGGGCTTTGAGCACGGCCGAATTCTCACTAAGCACCGCGACAAGACAAGCGATGCCCATCGCCGTACCCATTGCGAAAAGACTTGAGACTCCCATCAATTTCGTCGATAATACGTTATGCTTTGGTCTTGATAAAATTGAAGAAAAAGTGCCGTTGGTGAAGGAGAAACCCGCACAGGTTTGTGACAGAACTTTTTTCTGTCATATAATTATAATTAATAAACATTAATTTATTACAACATATTCAGTTTGTATTTTTTAATAAATTAAAAGTTGAAATTAAAAAAATAATTACAATAATATATATTGGATATATTTTTTTTCTTAGATTTTAGAGAAGGCGGTATCAAGAATTTCACATGTAAACGATTTGATTCTTGAACAAGCGACGAATTTGCGAGACATCAGCTGGAATACGGCTAATCAAATACTCGATACACGCTATGGCAGTGTGGCTGTGAGAGGTATAGATAACACGGCCATTATCGTTGATAAACTCATTGACAGATATTTCCCCGCAACAGAAGAAGAAAAACCGATAGGTAAAGCATAAAATTTTAATTTTTTGACATTTTATTGAAACAATTAATGCGTATATATATATATATATATATATATATATATATATATATATATATATATATATAAACATTAATTGTTTCAATAAAATGTCAAAAAATATAAATTTTATGTAAGAATGATTGAAACTTTTTCCAATCATATAACTACTTATCAAAATTATTAAAGTTTTATAATATAAAATATTTATCGTATTTAATAAATAATTAATTTCTACATATATTTTTATTTACATATTACATTCATATTTATATCTATATTATTGTAATTAAATTATTAAAAGTTAAACTAAATAATTATATGAATTTCTTTAAATGCAAAGATAATATGGTTGTTTAATTGTTTTTAAACGTGACCTTTCTTTATACATTTTTACATTTTACATATTTTTAATACATTATCTTAATTATAAATATTTTATTACAGACATCAACTCAGCTGAGAAGGATAAACTGTTACATACTTTACAAACGGTCGGTCACCTATCCAATAAAGCTGCTCGACGTGTATACCTAAACATAGTAAACCACTTGAATACCATCAAGAAGGACGGTTTATCGTCTTATGTTAGCAGTTTAGTTGAGTTCCTTCGACTCACAAAGTATCTTCACACTGTCAATGAAAAACCACAGGCTAATGGTGAAGTAAACCAAGAACCACACGACGAAAAGGAAAAGAGCGAGTAAAAAAGCACTACTTCTATCTCTCAAAATTTCTATACATAATGGTTATTTAAACCATCGAAATTAATATCTTTTATATTTTTTATGTACGTGGAAATAATAGTTTGTATTTATTTTTAATAATTATGCACATATAATTGTTATTTGTTATTTGTATAATTTTGGTAATGTTATAAATATTGTTAAGAATCAAATTACTGCGGTCACACATGCTAATTTCTAACTGCCGAAGAAGTAATCGTCATACGAAAATATTTCGCGTCAATGGAACGCTAATTCATAAACATTCCTTTACATTATTCGCTATAATAAATTATATATTAAAAAATTGTAATAAAAAACGAGATAATATTCATAAGAATAAGATGTAGAATAAATGTATAAATGATTTATATTTATATATTTTGTATAATCTTTATGAAAATGTAAAAAAGCAGATAATAAAAGATACAAATGCAATAAATTTTAAAGATTGTTATCATAAATATTAAATAAAATAAAATAAATTTTAAATAATAGCCAGTAAATAATACAATATAATTGTAACTTGTGATACATATGTATATACATATATATTTTTTATATAATTCACAATCAGGATGCATAAATTTCAATGAAATAATTGGAAATTATAAGATTTCAAATAATTATCGGATCTCAATATATATTTAAATATATTTCTAAAATGTAATTTTATATGGTAGTTCAGAACTATATTCTTTCAATTGACATAATCTTCTTTTAATTATTACACAAAAATTTTCACATATTACTATTGACACAACAAGGATATTTTTCCAATTTTAAAAGCAAATATTAATAAACATTTTGTATATGGATATATGTAACAAATATAATAAAGATAATTATACAATACAAATTTACATTCTGTACATTTAATTAATACACTATAATTAATACATTTTAATAAACATGTGGATGAAGTTTAATTTACTATTCATTTTCTTTATTGTATTTAAATTGTACTACTCTATGATAAAATATTTTTTTATTATTAAAGTTTAAAGAAGTTCTTAAGAATATAATAATCTTAAGAATATAATAAATTTGCCATTTATAGAAATTAGTTTACATTTTATTATTCTTATTTTTTATATTTATTAAAGACATAATACAAAAAATTAATTTATTTCTGCATATATTTTATCTAGAACAACATGAATGAACAATAAAAGTTAAATAATCGTCTATTTTTTATATTCGTTATAATACGATTATTGTTTATTAGTAATGAATGATTATATTCTTTACTTTTTTTAATCGTATATTATCGCGTTCGATATAAAATTTCTTGAGCTAATGAAGCTAACATATGGAGCTAATGAAACGACCGAAGTGGATACGAACAATGACAATAAAGAATATCTCGTAGCAATATTAAAAAATTGCGTCAGATTCATTATAAACAGCATCATCGTTACTTCCAATTATCATTCTTCGTAGGGTCAATTTTGTGGACTATTCATTCGCTTTCCACGTGTATTATTTATAGTAGAAGAGTACAAGTATGCGACCGCCACGTCACGGATGAATATTGCGAGATATCTCACTGCGCAGAAGCATAAATGGAACCATAGACGTACTTATAAAATGTAGAACCTAAACATAAGGATGCATCAAACTATATATATGATGCAACCGGATAAATAATATGATGTAATACTATGATGATATAATGTAAAATATAAGAAGTATTTACTTTAAATATGAAAGATAAAAATAGTTTTTTGAAAACGAGTTTCTCTTTATTTAAAGAAACATTATTTAAAACTTAAACATTAATTTATAAATTATTTTTGTTGCTTTATTAAAAATGTCAAAATAATTTTCCAGATTATGCTTAAATCAAGCATAGATATAAAAAATATATTATAAAAGTATTATATATTAACATTAGCTGAAGAAATTTTAATTCCTTCTCTAAGATTTAATAATAAAATCAAGTGATTGTATTCTATTAATAATAAAATGAAATAATGTTTGTCTCTCATAATTTCCCTATTTCTTGTAAATTTAGAATAAACGTTTAGTAAGTTTAGAATAAAAGTTTTTTTTTAAATAAAATGGATGTAAAATAATTTCTACTGTTCTACAATTGGATCTAGTAGAGTCCACCGCAGTATAACTTCGAAAGGATAAAGGAACTAGGAAGATATTTGACGTTACTGTTTCGGTCTCCCCACTTAATGATGTTCCCCCAATACATACCGGTTTTCACACAGATATAACGACAGTCTTATCCGGCGTCTTGTGTAAGTTGGTCGTATATCGATAACTTTCAACAAATTCTTCTCAGCAAGTCATTTAAAAATGTAAGTATCTATTATAAAATAAAATAAAATGTATGAAATAAGAAAACAATAAAATTGAGATATTGAAAATTAAATTAAATATTTCAATTTACATTATGTAAAATGATACATTTGCTGACACAATATAAATAAGTATTTATAAAGTAATGTACATTGCAAGAAAATATTATGTTATTATGTCTTTTATTTTATCTATTATTTTGCATAACATTTTTTAATATGACTGCTATTAAATAACATTTTACATTAACTTAATTTAATAATTATTGGTGATGTTATTATATTAACTAACACGTTTTGTTATATTTTAAATATTCAGTGAACAATTAACGTGTAATTATATATGTATAGTAATAAATTATATTTACATAGTAATTTACTCCTATAATATTATGTTGATCTATGCTCGAAATGTGATTTCGTTTCGAGTAAATTCTATGTTATAACTTGATCCATAGCTGAGGTTAATATTCACAAGAAACATCAATAATTTTCTAGAACAAAAGAGAAGGTTTGCTTTATAGATTATTCTCGTATATACGCACAGAATTAGCATCTGGTTGTCGCAATGTATTACATAGGATCTAAGTTATAAGAATTAGTTTTTAAAAATAATCTGAGAAATAACTGAAAAAAACATTATTTCCAAATAAATATCTTGTACAGATACGTTTTGTACAGCGATGCAATAGCAACACAGAATTTTACTTCATTATTTCGTCTGTTCCAGCGGATGAGTCATGTATTACGCGCATAATCTCATGATTAGTTGAGTACATTAGTTCGTGTAAAGAAAATCTAAATATTTGATTTTGCTTTACATTTTACATTCTTTTTTTCGGCACTGTTATGCACATGGATAAATGTGTGAGATATAGTGAACATTTATGGTATCATACATATGCAATATATGTTTCGCGATGATTTTATTTATTGGTATATTTTTTGTTTTCCTCTTTTGTTTTTTTAATTTGCCGATCGCACGCATATAGATGCATTAAGAAAAAGATGGAGGAAATTTGGTTATTAAGTTATATATAAACAATGGTATCAAAGTACATATCTGGCTTGACACATATTTAGATAACGATATGAATGACTGATTCATCGGCTACCGAAGGTACAAAGATCGTTGCAAAAAATACTTGCAGGCCGCATTACATGCATTTCTGTTTAAAATATTTAAGTGCATACTCGAGCGTGACGCACATAATTATCATAGTACAACCATTTTTAAATAAAATTTAAAAAAGTTTAGCGTGAATGACTCAATAATGTCTTAAATTTAATTAATGACAACTGCACATATTATCGTGCACTGTTATCATAATTTTACCACATTTCTATAGTTTTTATTTGTACTTGTTACTGTATAAATATATTTGTCTGAAAAATGGCATAAAATAAATTTTGAAATTTTGAAAATTTGAATTAAATTTAAGGAGACACAGCTTTAAATTTGTTGCATACATATATATATATATATCAAATTTGAGTATACTTTAATACAAATATTTTCTCTCAACAAAAAAATTTTTTAAAATTTGATACATGCCATTTTTAATACATGATAATCGATATAAATGCCAATTTTTAATTTAATTCGGTTTTTACAGAAAGAATGGCAGATGCCGCTAAAACAACACCAAACTCCCCCGATGGTCCTCGTCTTGAGGTGTTGGACAGAGTAAAAAACATTCCGGTAGTCCATTCAGCGATCGAAAAAACAGGATGTACTTATTCTTACGTTAAAGATTCTCATCATTTGATAAATTGGGCGTTGAATCAAGCCGAAGCAGGGCTACATTATGCGACCGCCACGGCCGCGCCGATTGCTGCACCCTTGGCCAAGAAATTCGAAGGACAGATCAATGCTGTCGACCAGAAACTATGCGAGGGATTGAACATAGTCGAACAAAAAGTTCCGATCGTAAAGAAACCACCTCAGCAGGTAACGCTAAAGGAAACCTGTTCCTTTTTAGTGGGGCAATGATCTCCTCAGAACAGTAGAGAGTAGCTACAAAAATCTGAGCATGTATTATGGAATTTCGGAATAGATTCTGATCGAAATTGTTCAATTACTCTCTAAATTTCTATTGTATTTTCTAGAAAAATGGAATAATTTCGAAATATCCGTTCCAATCCCATAATACGTGTCCTGAATTCCTTTAATCCTAAAAATTTTTTCTTTCTGATGTTTATTAAAAAAATTTTCTGAAAAATTTGATTTCATTATGTATCTTAACTTTTTCTTTTACAAATGTTAATAAAATAATAATAAATAAATAATTATAATTCATATTACAATTATAATTCATTATAATGTAATTATAATGCATAAATAATACATATTATAATACATATAATTCATATAAAACAATCTGACTCATGTACCACTTGTTGATTAATAAATGGCTTTCTGGCATTTACAGATATATGATGCCGCCAAAGCGGTTATGAGCAGCTCTCTACAGCCGACCATCGAAAAACTTAATACAGCAAAAGAATCAGCTACGCAGCAAGCATCTACGTTAAAAGAGATCAGTATAACTAAAGCGAATGAACTTCTAAATACACAATATGGTAACATGGCTGTACAAGGCGTTGACAATACCAGTATACTTGTCAATCGTTTATTGGATCATTATTTCCCACCGGTGGAAGGAGAAGAGAGTACACCACGTATGTTCTCCAAAACTTCATAAATTTAGCATTATATTTATTAATTAACATAGCATTATATTTATTAATTAACCGATATTATTTTAATGGTCATGACGATGTTATTACAGATCCCATCTCCGCGGATGAGAACAAAGTTCTTCATACGGTGCAAACGATTGGGCAACTGTCAACGAAAACTGCTAATCGCGTTTATCATTCGGTTGCCGCTCAATTGAAGACAATAAAGAAAGAGGACGTAGCGACGTACATATCCAGCGTAGTGTCCATTCTTCATCTCACACAATACTTACATCCTGAACAGAGACAAACAGACGATAATGAGACAAATAGTTCGACAGAGAATAAAGATGAGGAGAAAAAATAAACCGAAAGACGCTTTATTTATTCAATACGTTAATTTACGTCCAAATCGATACATAATTTAATTAATTTGTTACGCACTTCGAAGGAAAGTATTAAAAAAAAAATATATAAATTATGAAAAATTGAAATGATACGAAAAATTTTGTAAAAATTTTATAAAAGTTTAATATGGTGTATATATATTTTTAAGAAGGAAGAAATTTTTAAGAAATATTTTTAATACTTTTTATAACAAAAGTATTCTTTTAAAAATACGTCAGTATCAAAAAAAGTATACAATGTTTTTAATTCGAGTAAATTCGAAATCAATGATCTTTGCTGATTGTTTGGATGTATTTATGTATTGTATTTATAATATGTAAATTACGATTTTGTGGTTAGTAATAAGGTATATAATTTTAATATTTTCTATATATGTGACAAATTTATATTAATGAAAATTATGAAGTTTTATTAGTTTTTACAGTTATCAGAAAGAAATAAACCACCGATGCATTATTATTATTATCAGAATCACACTTGTTAATGCATAAAATATAAATGTATTTCAAGTAAAACATATTATATTAAAAAACTGTGAATGAAAGATATAAGTGCGAATATATATTTTATAAAGTATTATGTAGATGCATTTTAAAATATAATTTTGGAGAAAAATTTTTTTATATTATTATTTATTCTCTTATTATTGATTCAAAATATAAAAATTGAAAAATTCAATTTTATAAGTAGAATTCAGAAATGAACTGTATATTTATAATATATGTATAACTGTGTATGTAACTGTTTTTATAATATATGTTTAGAAAAGATTGAATTTATTACAAGTATGTATTAAAGTCTCTATAATTGCTAGTAATTATCGAGACTTTAATACATACTAGTAATTATTTGGTAAAAACGGGCTAAAAATTTGCATAAAGAGACATAACTTAGTAATTTTATAAAATATTATAATATTATAAATGTTACAAGATAAAATTTACTAAATTAACTTGTTTGAATTTTCAATTTTGTTTAGTAAAATTCAACAACTTTTATTTATGTATGTAGGAGATGCAAAATTAACATTTTTTTAAGGACCCATTAAATTAAATTATCCCTCCTGTAAATAGTCGGCACGCTTCTAGCCTGGGGATTTAGTACAGAGACGAACCACGTTTACTTTCAATGATACGATTTTGTCGATAATGTCAGAAATGTATAAGCTGCGTTCCACTTAGCGCTTGCAACGCTCGCGAGCATCGTTTGTCCTTATTTAACATTTGATAAACGACAAGGATGAAATGATTCCATGAGCGTTGTGAGCGTTAAGTGGAACGCAGCCATAGTCATGTAGTTTCTAAACTGAAAATGGATGTACGAGCGATTTCGACGGTAACAGGGAAAAGGCCAGTATGGCCTCTCTCAGATTTCTTTCTGGTATAGATTACTTCAGTCTTTATATTACCAACGCACGATTGCTCCGAAATGAACTATCAAGAACTTAACAGTAAAGGCGTAATCTCTTGGCAAACAATCGTATTTCGCTTAATCGGGTGACGAAAAATGACAAGAAATGGAATTGCATCTCTCTAGCATTAAAGTTTATATAATAAATAATTGAACTCTCGCGGTCGTTTGTCGGAGTAAACAAATAGTGAAATGAGTCAGTGATCAAGGTACAACTGCAGCTATGTTTAAAGAAGGGGACAACGAAAAAGGAGAATAAAAGAAAGAGAAAGTATAACAGAGAGAGGGAGAAATACAAAGCCATAGGACAGCTGAAGGGAAGTTGGCGTCCAGTTACTGTCACAACGATCGTATCCGGTAAGTGTCAAACTAACAATTTTCCTTTATCACATCGTATCACATCGATCGGAGCACCTGTCAATTCACGACCATGACATTGATCTTGAAACGCATATGTTTCTATAACTATATTCCGATGTTTCTATCGATCGAGAGCACAAACAATGAGTCGTAGTAAGCCACGCGAATTCCTACCGCTCGCTGCTTTGTACTCCAATCACGATATTAGTTCTCGCTTAGTGTGTTTAAATGAACTTTTTCTTCTTCTTCGCGAACGCCGTTCATGTCTTGCTTGAATTGCAATTCATATATAAAATGTGTTAATGAAATCTGAGTTAGTATTTATTATTGAGCTGCAGATAGAGTGCTTAATGTAATAATGACACTTATGATGCAATAACAATGGTGAAGAAATTTTATTGATAATGACTTAAATATTATAGTGGAAGACAATTGTTTCTACGTTAGTATATCATTCGTTCTTTTTTTATTTGCATTCTTTATTTGCATAAATAATTCATGCACACAGTTTATACTTTCATAAAGTTCATAATGCTCTTGTGTTTTTCTTAAACGTTTGTTGAATTTTTAATTTAATTTAATTTATAGCCACACAATGGTCTTGCTATATGTATTAAAATTAGTTTTAAATTACAAACTTAATTACAAACTTAATTTTAATAGATGTAGCAGGAATTAATTAATTAGAATTATAATATCTTTTTGTTACAGATTGTGTAGTCTCAAGAATCAAGAGGTTATTCGATGAGAAGAAGATTTCGATTTAATTATAGCCATGAATATGGAACTCTCTGATCAGTTATATCGAATTCAAGCCGTTGATCGCGCCCGTAAAATACCCAGCGTGAATTACTTATGGGATAAATCTACAGAGGTGTACGAACGTGTAAAAGGCACAAACACGTTTATAAATTGGGCTTTCGACACCGTTGAAAGTGTGTTGAATACGATGATAGAGAAGTCTCTACCAGTCGCTCGACTGATGGAGAAACCAATTTATACTCTGGATAAAACATTATGTCAGGGCATCGATTTTGTCGAAGGGAACTTGCCAATAATTAAAGAAGAACCCAAACAGGTTATACATATATATATATATATATATATATATGTATATATATATATTTCCACAGTATGGATCTTTAATTATTTGATTTCAAATTTATAAATGCATTCATTTTTTATGTTCTTTCTTTTCCAGATATTGAATCGCACCAAATCTATGGTATCTGAACATCTCCGTCCTGCGGTAAAAACTTTTACCGATTTAAAACGGGAAACCAAGCAGAGAGTAAGGATTATGACTCTACTTACATATTATAAGGTCCACTACTTACGTATCTACAGCTGGCAACAAGCCGACAGAGTCATGTCAACTGAAACTGGTATCAATATTTTAAAGACTGTTGATAACACTACTGATTTTGCTGAAATTATGTTGAACAAGTATTTACCTCCATCAGAAGAAGAGATTCATACAGATACAGGTAATGTTATATATCAATTGTTACAAATAGAAATTTAACATAATAAAATTAAAAATACTACTTAATAACTTTTTGTTTATATCTTTAAAATGGAATACATAAGAAAATATGAAAATATAAGGAAAGTAGCTTTAAATAAATGTTATTACGCATGCAAATTATGCAACATTTGAATAAGATTCTCTTTCTTAAATGCAAGTCAACCGTAATCGTACATAATAGACATAAAATTATGCAATAAAATTACCGAACTTTAATTAAGCCAGAAAATATTTTTCCTTTAATAACATTAATTAATTTATATTTCTAGAGCGATTATGTAGTGAACACGTTAAGCTGCATCATACGATGGAAAGATTAAGTGAATTCAGTACTCGAGCATACAGACGTATTTATTACGCATTAATGGAGAGATTGCAGCACATGTATAAGATAGAAATACTTATTTTGGTATTACATGTTCTTGTGGTCATTCAGGCGATCAAGTTTTTGGAATCGGTAGTGAGTTTAATTTTTAAATTATTTAGTGACTGCCTCTTTTCGTCTTAGAAATACGTTCTAGTCCGTTTTATAATCGTTTATGCAATAGCACTTAAGAAATCAGACTATTTTTATTACTTTTACACGAAATTATTCCCGAGTATATTTTACTTGCAAACTGCGAATTTTACTTAATGAGAACGTCGTGAAACGTGTGACTATTCGCGGAATAATTTCATGGTCCAAAATGAATTAAAAAGAAGCCGTGCTCTCAGCCATGATATATGGCAACTTTTTCTCATGATATTTCGCATTTGCACATTTCCGACTTTTTAAATAATCTTCCAACTGCCGTTTTTTAAGAGAAATAATCCAATTATTTTTAAGAAGAAACTACATCTCTATATATAAATTAATATAAAGATAATCTTCTTTTTAAATATATGTAGGATATTTTAACTTTTTTTTTCTTTCTCTTAATCGTAAACATTAACCTAAACTAAAATTTCGAAATCTTACTAAAATTAAAATAATTTTAATATACATAATAAAACGTTAAATTTTGAATCATAAGCTTTTAAATTAAAAATTAAGAAATTTTGATACATTAAACAAAGAAATATTAAAAAATCGTAGAATTTATAATAAATTATTTAAAATGGCATTTTAATTTAAAATTATCAAAAAATATAATAATAAAAGAAAATACATATAATAGTGTTTATATTAGTAATGTAATATCCTGTATATTTATTATAATATTATTTTTACTTTGTCATTTAAAATGTTTTAAATGTGTGACATAGATTAAAAGAAAGAAAAAAATATCCCTGTTTGAGTATTTATCTTTATATGTATTTAACCATTACGTGTTACATTCAGATTTTTAATCGAGTTAATAATATTTCAAATGTGTGTGCTGGTCGGATTGTTAGACTGTATATTCGCAAGGATGAATCAGCAAAGCGATTATCGTTGTTCTTTTTTTAAGAATATAACACGATATATTTTTCGATAAGATTTGTCCGTGTTTTTAAAGATCTAGTTGCGCTTTTCGTATCCTGTTATTATGTGACGGGCATATGTATTCGAAGGGCGTGGTACTCGCACATGACATAAACGCTTAATAATGTCTTATTTCTGCCACTTCTTTTTGTTATTTAGATTTATATATAAGGTTTGTTTTTTACGCAGATAAACTATTTAATAAAATGTAATGTTAC